ACTTTCATCTTGCAAATTCGTACTCCTCCCTTCTAAATTACAGAAACTTTCCAGAGTTGAGTTACAAAGTTGGTTGGATACCCAAACCTCCTCCTGAGATCCCAAAGATTTTCACCTTTTCCAAAACTTTTTTGAAAAGATGATTTCCGGGACAAACTCAAGTATTTATCGTTTCGAAAGAGTTTCGAAACTTTCCTTTTATCCCTCAGCGAGGAATAATCTCTCGAAGAATTACACAAGAATAAAAAGAAAAAAAGTTTCCCTTCCTTGCTTCGTTCACGAAACGTGGAAAAGAGAGAGGAGAGGCTTAAAACTCGCGATGGAGGAGACGATGCATTGTCTCCTCGGCCATCTCCTCTCCTTCCAACCGCGAAACCTTCCGTCTCCTCCTCATCATCGACGATCTTCAGGGTTGGAAGAAGCTTTGCAAGATCCCCTTTTCCGTCGGTGTCGACGTTTTCGCGCCTCTTGGCACGTTTCGCTCCACCCCCGCGCACATCCTCGAGCGTTCTGGCCCTGTCCCCTCCTCTCTCTCTCTCTATCTATCTACCCTTTATTTTCTCGAGGGTGGCCCCCCCTCGCTTCTTAACGTGGAAATCGTGCTCGATTTCGCCCTGATCCTCTTCGATTTTTCTTTTCCCCTCTTTCTTTGTTTGAAATGGTCGAGAAGAACACGTGTCTCGAGAAGACGAAGCGATTTTTAAGCATTCGAGTTTCGTCATTGTTCCAACAGGCGATCGATTTTTTTCTTCAATCCCACGCTCGAGACGTTATTCGAATAGATCGTGTATCTTTATTTTTCCTTGGAGAGGATTAATCCCAAGTTTTTCCTTTTTCAATCGTCCGGGTTCCGTCTCTTTCTGGGTTGAAAGTGTGTCCACAGGATCGAGAGGAAAGGAGCCGATTGGTTTGGTCCTCCGAGTAATTGTTGTTGTCGCGCTGGTTTCGCCGTCGATTGGCTCGGAATTCGGGGGAGGGTTTCTTCTTCTTTACGATCTTTTCCAGCCATTTCGAGGCAAACGAATTCCATTCCATCGAAGCATCCTTTCGTCGAATATGGAAGAAATATATATATATATGTGTGTGTGTAGTTCAGGTTGAAATTCTGTCTCGTTACTCTACTTGTTTGTTTGTTCTCGATATATCAGAGTATGTCAATTTATTTGGAATATATAAGATTGCTTCTTTGATGGATTGAATTGTATATTAATAAAATGTAACGAGATCGATTCGATATCAATTATTATGATATTGCTGCGAAATATTAACGAGATGTTTAAATCGTTTCGAATCTGTGCAAGAAGATCTTCTTTTTGTAAAACGTGATGATTTGTTATCCAAGACGCGGTTACAAAAGAGGGAGGGAGAGAGTCTCGCAATTAAACTTTGATTTATTAATCAAAGAAACGGAAGAAGCCGTTCGATCGTGGATAAAAAATTAAAAGAAGAGGCTCTCCTTTCCAGCCGAGGGGAAATATTGGCCTGCAATTTGTGAAGTGGCTTGTGAAGAGGGTGTGTCTCTCCCTGCGATCTTTCCTTACTTTGAAACAGCCTTGTTTGTCGCGGATGGACCTGCTAATTAATTCGAACGCGGTTGATTAAGTACGAATGAAAAATTTTCCTTAATTCGATAGGGAAAGGGTCAAGTTAATGATCCTTCTTCTTCCATTCTTTTTTTTTCAATATTGGATTTGGAAAAATAAATTGAGATATCAAAGTATAGCTTTCTTTTTTGTAATCAACTTAAAATTGTGCGATCGAATACGATTCTCTCTGCAACATCTTAATTTCCAAAGGACATTTATCGAATAAGAAAAGTAAGAGTCGAAAAGGAAAGGAAAAGGACACGATCGAGAAAGTCGATCGATGAGGGCGCCATATTTGTTACCTCTGTGAAACGGTATCCTTACCTTTTCACCGAGAATGAAGATTCTCTCGTCGAGGAGAAATGAAGTCGAGTAATTTTTTATTTCTGCTTCCCTCGAGTGTCGATTAAAATTAAAAAAAAAAAAAAAGAATCGTTTGAAATTTCCTCGATTTCGACGTCAGATATAATATCAAATAATTGATTCTCTATTATTGCGATCATAATATTATGGATAATCGTTTCAAATTTATTATAACTTTCGAGTGGGAATTATTCATATTCGACGATTAAAACAACGATAAACAACGATAATGCAACGACGAGGGGGGGGGTCGCCTGTGTCGAATTTCGATCGAAATTTGCATATCGCGTTGCAACGACGACGTCGTCGAATATCACGAACCTGGAATAATTAAAATTCCACGCGAAAACTTATTAACAATTCGCCCGTTTATTTTTCATATAAACGCAACGATGAAATAAAGAGAAAAAGATATCTTTCTTTGTAAAGATCCATGCAAAAATCGTTGAAAAATCCAGGCTTCCAAGATTGTTGGAGGCGAAGAGGATGGACAACAGTGCTCGAGGCGTTTCCCTCCTCTCGAGGGGGGAGGGTAATGATGGCCGGCTGTCCGGGGTTTTATTGTGATTTACGCGATTGGCGCGATCCACGAGCAGCGGAGCATCAGCGGGGCTTTATTTTCGGTCGGCCAGCCGGCACCGACCGCTTGCCACCGTGCCAATTTTTAATTAATTACGAAACAATCGTGACACTATTTGAAGGTTGTATAATAACCAAGTTGGAACGTCCCTTTATCGCGCTCCTATTTTCGCACGCCAAGATACGCAGATCAGTTTTAGGCGCGAACCGATATTTTGACCGATCTCTGTGGAGAAGTATAGTAGGAATAATTCTTCTTTTTTATCCCTTTGATCGTTGCAAATAATTTTCGAATCGCCTATTCGACGATTTCTTCAAGATCGGTTCATTGCTGTACAATACAAAATTGACGATCGGCCAAGTTGAACGCAGACTGTCGAGTCGATTATTTATACAATTTCATCTCGATTAGATTGGGTTGATTTGCTTCGCAACATTTTTCTGACTATTTCAAATGATTCTCTCGATGCGTTCTTAAAGTCACGTTTTTTTATCGACAAAAATTGGATAGGTTTATTGCTGTACACAAAATTGGCGACTGGCCAAGTCAAATGCAGACTATTCAGTCGATTGATGCCAATCAAAAATTTATGTAATTTCAGATTACGTTCATTTTCACGTATATTTCAAGTAAATTTCGAATCTCGACGATTCTTCGATGCGTTCCTAAAGTCACGTTTTTTTATCGACAAAAATTGGCCAAGTCAAATGCAGACTATTCAGTCGATTGATGCCAATCAAAAATTTATGTAATTTCAGATTCATCTTCATTCCGACTATTTCAAGTAAATTTCGAATCTTGACGATTCTTCGATGCGTTCCTAAAGTCACGTTTATTCGGCATCGATAAAATTCGGCGACCGGCCAAGGATCGAATTCCAATTTAAATCGATCAAAAACGATTTCTATACATACATATCCTAACTTAATACCTTCGTTAAAAGAGTCGCACGCACAATCTTGTACAATTTTCCATACATCCACGAGGACGTATTAATAATAACATTCGACACGAAACACGAGATATCAGAAATTCAAGTATCGACACGCGCGAAAATACGTCTTCCCACCCTCTTCCTCGCATCTCGCACCTGTTGTGTTGCACGCGAGGAAAATTCTCCTCCGCCAGATCCCATTTCCTCGAGCGTGTCCCCCCCCTCCCTTTCGATCGAGAAGGTGAATTACACGCGCGGCTGCCCTCGCCAAAGGTTTATTTCCGCGAGTTCGGATTCGCGCTTGATTTCCAACCGGAGAACCGTGATTTGTGAGATTCGATTCGAGATTCGATCGTCGGCAAACAGGCGTGTCGGAATGTTGTTGGCAAATTAATGAACCCGATCTATTCTAATCAAGGAACCGAGGAGATATCTTGTTGTTGTTGTTGTTACGAGGTGTTGATCGAATTATCTTCGTGTCTTATACAGAAGGAATTAAATTTTATTAAATTGAAGAAAGTGAATGATTTCAACCCTTCGCACTCTTAAAAAATTAATTTCCATTAAATTTCACTTTCTCGTCACTTGTTAAAAATAGAGAAACTTGTTAAAAAGATTCGGCATCGATAAAATTCGGCGACCGGCCAAGGATCGAATTCCAATTTAAATCGATCAAAAACGATTTCTATACATACATATCCTAACTTAATACCTTCGTTAAAAGAGTCGCACGCACAATCTTGTACAATTTTCCATACATCCACGAGGACGTATTAATAATAACATTCGACACGAAACACGAGATATCAGAAATTCAAGTATCGACACGCGCGAAAATACGTCTTCCCACCCTCTTCCTCGCATCTCGCACCTGTTGTGTTGCACGCGAGGAAAATTCTCCTCCGCCAGATCCCATTTCCTCGAGCGTGTCCCCCCCCTCCCTTTCGATCGAGAAGGTGAATTACACGCGCGGCTGCCCTCGCCAAAGGTTTATTTCCGCGAGTTCGGATTCGCGCTTGATTTCCAACCGGAGAACCGTGATTTGTGAGATTCGATTCGAGATTCGATCGTCGGCAAACAGGCGTGTCGGAATGTTGTTGGCAAATTAATGAACCCGATCTATTCTAATCAAGGAACCGAGGAGATATCTTGTTGTTGTTGTTGTTACGAGGTGTTGATCGAATTATCTTCGTGTCTTATACAGAAGGAATTAAATTTTATTAAATTGAAGAAAGTGAATGATTTCAACCCTTCGCACTCTTAAAAAATTAATTTCCATTAAATTTCACTTTCTCGTCACTTGTTAAAAATAGAGAAACTTGTTAAAAAGAGAAATCGATCGAAATATCCTTTCGAAATTCGATTTGAAAGAAAGAATTCGAACGTTTATTTTCCTCCCCCTCCTCCTCTCTTATCTCTTTAATTAACGTGTTGCATGATTAACGTGTGTGTATATATATATATATATGGTAATTGAAAGGTGAGATTCTTTGTCGAGATTTAATTAGAAGGGGTTGTTGCGCCCCGTGTTTTACAGGGTTGAGGAAAGTGTACCCGTATTACTTCACCTTCACCACGTTCACGAAGGGGAGATGGGTGGGGGAGAAGATTCTCGAGGTGTTCGCGAGAGAGTTTCGGGCGCATCCGGCGGAGGAGTACGAGCGTTGCATCCGTGCCGGTACTTTGACCGTCAACTACCAGAAGGTGGACGTCGACTACAGGCTGCGCCACAACGATCTCTTGGCCAACGTGGTTCATAGGTGAGCCGTTTTTACCATTCTTTTTCTCGCAAAATCCTTCTCCCTCCCTTATCCTATCCCACTCGAGCATCGTGAAAGGCGGACGAATTTCGGGGACGAACAAGATTTAACTACTATCCGTTTACTTACTCCTCTAATATAAGACTTGTCTTTAAATACCGCCTTACGACTCGAACGTGCTCTCACGTTCACTCACTCGCCTGTTGCTCTTCTATTCTTCCTGCGCCGAGTCTCTCTATCGTGCAATTTCTTGAAAGATCGGACTCGAGAACTTTGGAAAATAACATTTCTTCTATCACGGATGAAGAAGATATCCGGCCATTCGATTATTCCACCATCTTTCTAAGACACACGCGCGAAGACGAATCTATTGGAGCGCAAAGGGTTGGAATTATCGACGTGTAAATTGTGGAAGGAGGGGGGAGGGGGGGAATTGTTTCGAGCATTTCTTATATATCGATTTCGAAATTTTCGAGCAGAAGATTGAAAGATAAGGAAAAACTCTGGTAGGATACGGTGGAGTGGCTCGTCAAGCGGATTCGTCCTCGTCAAATTTACCAAACGCTCGTCGTGCGGCCCGGCCAATATATCCCGGCAAATGGAAAAGTTCGTTCCTAACGCGATGAAATTATATTGTCAGAGGTTGCGTGTATTTCTCTCTTAACGATCGTCCGTCGTTACCAGCAAAGAATCACAATCATTCAAAGTTATTTGTACAACCCTGAAGTAAAATTTCCCCCTTCATCGATCCATTTTCTACGTATCTTTCCACGTTTCGAATAAATTCTTCTTCGTTCTCTGGAATTTTGCTTTTTTCATTGAAAATTGAGTGAACGAAATTCGAAATTATCAAATGTGTACGTGTGTATGTATGTATATATATATATATATTAAAGCTGGTTGATCATTCGACGAGAAAGATACGAAATTGCGCGCAATGCAAAGTAATCTTTGATCTCGAATAAATTTTATCAAGAGTTGCGACCTTTTAAGAGTCGCGAGCTAATATATTTTGCGCCACTGTTAACGTTATTCTCGCGTGCATATTATTATTCTTGATATTGTTATTGTGAGTGTGTGCGCGCGCGCGCGTGTGTGTGTGTGTACACGTTTCGTATAGTTTTAAAAATAAGAAAAAAGGAGGGGGAGCAAGTGTTTGGAAAAGGGAGGAAATACGTGGAGTTAAAAATAAAAATTGTTGGTGATTTATGTTGCTCGACTCGTTTGAAATGTACGGGCAATTGTACAGGACGATTCTATAAACTGGGACGTAGCTATAGTTCTCCTCCGGCCGAGGAGAACGGAAAATTGAATGGCTTAACGAGCACTATTTTTCTGCGCTACAAGATTTTCCTCGAAAATGCGACTCGAGCGCGTCCCTTTTCTCTCTTTCTCTCTCTCTCTCTTTTATCTCGATATTACGCGTCGCTTAATGAATCGCACTTTTGCTCGTGTATGATTCGACGAGAAGATAAAAATGGATTGAAAAAATTTTAGAAAATTCGTCCCAAGATTTCTTCTCATTTTTTCCCCGAATAATCGGGGGAAAAATCGGAATTCCAAATATCCCTAGACAACTCGGCTGTCTCATGTATAATTCATAATTCGTTTCGTATGGATATAATGATCGTTAATGATATTCGCTTTTTTCACCTCGTCGATATCGATTTATTTATGAAAATAACAACTTTGCCGATATATTTTGAACAATGCGTATCCATCATCTCGCGTTTAAAATGTTCAAAATCCACGAGAAATCTATCGAAACGCTATTCTTAAATTTCGTTCGAGCGGAAAACGCATGAAAACATCATCCCATAACGCACAGTGAGAATATTGGAATTTCAAATATCCCTAGGCAACCAGCAAACATTATCTCTCGATTACTTCTCAACGGAAGGTTTCGTCCTAACGGAAACAGATAAAAATATTATCCATAGTCTGAGTAGTGAGTGAATCGGAATTTCAAATATTCCTAGATATCCAACACGATATCTCCATCGATCCCTCTTCACGTAATAATAAACGAGCTTCGAACCGATAAGAACCCGAGAACAAGTTGTCATCCTAATTATTGGATCCACGAGATGGAAGTATTTAAAACTCGTGACAATCTATGAAACACCTCTCGAAATTTTACTATTTTATCCCTAGATTCTTCTTTCTAGTAACCGAACGGTCGGAAACGAAATTTTCGTAGCCGAGAAGAATTTATCATCCCAATTATTGGATCCACGAAATGGAAATGTATTTAAAACTCTTGACAATCTGTAATAGTCACGTCTCGATCATCTCTCGATTCAAATTTTATTCGAGCAAAGATATTCTCTATGTCACCTAGGGAGAAAGTCGCAATTTCGAAATATCCCTAGACTTTTCTAGCAACCGAACGGTCGGAAACGAAATTTTCGTAGCCGAGAAGAATTTATCATCCCAATTATTGGATCCACGGAATGGAAATATATTTAAAACTCTATGCAAAAACACAGTCTCGATCGCCTTCAAATTTTACTCGAGCAATGATATTATTAACTGTACTTGTTCACCTAGGCAGAAAGCTAAAGTTTCAAATATCCCTAGGCATCTTGCCCTCTAATAACCGAACGTCGAAACGATTTTCATAGCGTGGATAGGAAGAAGGTGTTATCCAGAAGCTGGGCAAAATAATCGACATGGATGAAAGAAGGTGGGGGAAGGCGGGGGAACACCGCCGGGTGTTCCAAAGTGCGAGTAACAAGAAACCGTGCGCGATGGAACATCCTCGCTCCTGCCGTCGAGTGCCCCGCGATAATATCCTTGGCACGGATATAAAGGAATTCGTGCCTTGGTTAAACGCGCCGTCGCCCAACGAGGCTTCCATTATCAGCGTTCGATTATCGTGCGAGCGTTTCAAGGATGGGAAAAGCTTTCCTTTTCTTTAATCGCGATTTTTGTGAATGAGCAGAAATGGAAGATGGAGGGACGATACGTGGATGGATCGAACGTTTTTAAGAGACGGGTTGGACAAATGAATTCCGCATGAATTAAACGAGAAGAAGTGGTAAAAATGAAGATGAAGTCTATGAAGTTTATTTCGAGGAAATAAGTAATACTTCCGTTTCTATCGTCATATTTACGTAATAATTGGAAACATTTAATCGACGGATCGATATAAATGAATAAATATACAATGTTATCTATGAAACTTGCTCGTTATCGAGAATTATAACAGAGACGTATTAATACAAACACGAAAAAAAAAAAAAAAAAAGAAAAATAAGATATAACGAGGATAGAATTAATAAAAGGAGAACACGCAATGGAGGAGAACCTTTGCGTGTTGGAAATGATTAAGTAAAAACTTCAAAGATTGTAATATAATGTTATACAAACCTGTTCAACTTCTTTTCTCACTCTCTTGTATGTAAATATTTCTTTCATCTTTTTTCGTCTTGGAAAATATTCTCTGTTTCGATCAGAAAAATTGCCTTTTATAAAATAATAATAATAATGTCCCGGTGAATCATTTCGGAAAACGGACTCGGAATCGTAATTAAAAAAATCGAATCATCCGATTCGAAGAGGATAAAAGATAAAAATAAAAATATTCTCGCCTTCGAATATCCAATAACAATAACTTTTTCTTCTCTCTCTCTCTCTCTCTCTCTGTCATCCTGTCTGATTTGCATCTGAATCGCGTGACATTGAAATTTATTTCATCGATTACGTCGATTCCTTTACTCGGCCACGCATAATATCCAGGCCAGTGGCGCGGACTCGTGTTCACCTGTCTGCCATTTTAATCACGGCGAGGCGAGAAATCAAGCCATATTGTATATTTTGAAAAAACGATAAAAGGAAAAACTTTTTTACACTCCTTTTTCGTTTAATAAAACCCACGTTTTCGATTAATAAAAATTAATAATTTTACGCAGTACGAATTCATTTAAAAATTCCTTGGAAAAATTAATCCCGAGAAGAGGAATGGCAAAATGGCAAGAACCTTGTTAATCGTAGTTCTCGGTATTCTTTCGTAACAAAAATTAAATAAAAGTTAAAATACATAATAAAGATTGGAAACGTACGAAATTCGAAGGAGCCGATTTTCTTGCAAGAAAAATTTGTTCGATTCTAGCTGAAGGTCTCTCGACTAGGAGCAGACGATTCGGATGATGCACAACATCGTCGTGGATACACAACAAAACGCGGATACTGACGTCATTGACTTGGATCGAGAAAGATCGGTCGATAAATTCTTGAATTAATTGATCGCCTCATCCTCGAACAGAAAATACCCTTTTTCCTCCCCTTCCTTCTCCTGTTTCTTTTTTCAAAAATTAAGAAAAATTGAATGGTTTCGAATGGTTTTGCTTCGTTAAACTTCGATCCGTGTCTTCCTTATTTTGAAATCTTTTTTTTTTTTTTCTTTCATAAAACGAATCGAAACGAAAGTCCTTTCTTTCTAGGACTAATCCTGGATCGATCGAGGGAGGGGGAAAGGTTATATTATCAAGGTTGAATTTTTCTCGATACTCGACGATCCACTCCTAAGCTAATGCTTTTAAACTAATGCCGATACTCGAACTTGGTATTCTTGGCCGAGCTTGCTGCCAACTCGGTCTTTTAATCCTTCTCGAGATCCGCCACTTTCTGGAATTGGAGGAGGAATTGAACGACCGGTTAATAATCTCTTCTACGAAGTAACAATGTAATTGTCACGGCAAGCTTGTATCACGACTGGTTTTCCTTCGAGTCGCGACATCGCAATAAAATCTTGTTTCTTCTAAAATCGGTGATGAAGAATCAAAAAGAGAGATAAACATCGAAGTTTCGAAGATTTAATCGATGTAATAATTAAAGGATCGGTTGGAAAATTGATCGATCCTCGATTTCAAGAGACGAAAAACACGAGCCAAGAAGATTTTTCTCCATCGATCGACGTTTTACGCGTCCCTCGATACAATTCCTCCCTCGTTTTATACTTCGAGGAGGGAAATATTATAGCCGTCGAGCGAGAGAAC